GGCAGAATTAAGCTTAGAATGAAACTAAGTGCACTTCAATTAGATTAACAAAGAAATTAAGGTTGAAAACTTTGGCTAGTCTTTGTTTGAATCTAATTTCGGCAAAAACTATATGTACTTAATGTGGACATAAGTGAAACTTAAGTTCACATTAGGGGGCAAGGAGCTAGAGAATGATAAGTAAAAGTTTAAAGTGCTTCGGAGTTGGAATTTTATAGAACAATTTACAAGTTAGAGTAGGCTTAACACTTGTTGAAATTTTCAGAAAAATTTACAAGTTGAAGTTAAGGTTGAGGTAATATTGCAAGAAGTACATACGTATTTGCCGAGATGACCAAATTGCCAAACTTAGGAAGTATAGAAGACAGAAGTCTTGATAGAAGACAATAAGTGAGAGTGAAGTGGCAAGTTTAAAACAACACTTGTGAAAATATTTTACAATGTTTTTAAATGTTAAGTCAAGGCCGAGATAAACAATTAGAAGTTATGTCCAATGTACTTCATTTCGAAGAGGTTATATAGATAAAGATATACTTTGAAGACATGCAAAATTATTTTAAGTATGAAAATAGTAAACATGCATAAGAGAAAAAAATGCCTTCAAACACTTAGAAAAAAGGAGGAGACTTGCATTCAAAAAAGATTATTTGTTCAATTACATAAAGGGCACATCGGCCAAGTATGAAGCTAAACATTTGTTCAGACAAAAGAAAATACAACTGAAAGAAGAGATAGTATAAAGAAAAGATAAAACATCCTACGTATTAGGATTGATTTGTGATTTCTCAACCTCGGATGGCGGTGTTGTATTATGTTCGGTCGTTATCTCGACGTCGATCTCCAGCAAAGTCTAATCTAGGCTTTTCTCAGCGCACTGGACTTTGGCCTCAAAGGTAGTTGGTTTGAGGGAGACGCCCTTGGATGCCAAGTCATCCTTCTCGTCCTGAGTTAAGTCTATTTGCTCATTGAGGGTGGGAGACTTGACATCAGTGGCAGTCTTTTCCTCCATTTCGTCGGTTTCATCATCCTCTGTGTTATCTTTGGGCTTTGGAGAAAAAGGCACCTCAAGCTGGTTGATGTCTTGAAGGTCGGAGTCCATGGAAACCGATAACTTGTTGAGGGTTGGCGTCCAACTGAGGTTACCGAGGTAATAACCTCGGTTGCAAGCCAAGTTGGCTTGCTATTTGTATTGATCACGGACGGCGGCCTGTCCCTCTTTGAAGACTTTTCATCAGCTGTCTTTACCTTGGCCTCCTTAGAGGCAAGGACCTCCTGAAGCTTGGCCTTCAAATCAACTGCTTTGGCCTTGGCAGCTTCAAGGTCGACTCTTGCGGCCTCGGCTTCGTCATTGGCCGTTTTTATTTTTTCCTTAGCCAAATTCTGAGCAACTTTGGCATCCTTGGCCTGGTTTATTAGAGCTCGGTTGTTGGCCTCGACTTTGTTGAGTAAGGATAGAAGTTTGGCTGTTTCTTTTGTCTTTCTTGCCAACTCCTTTCTCATTACCTCGGTTTTGACAGCATATGAGTGAGCATGCTAAATAGCCTGCAAGAAGTAAAACAAATTAGTGTGATTTTTTCTAAATATAGAAAGAACTATAAAGAAATGGGTAAAAGAAGATTACCAAAACCGAGTGTTGCATCATGAGAGCAAAGTTCTCATACTCATGCAACTCGGCGATCCGATTCATGTCTTCTGGCAGAAGAACAGCCATTGACAGGGTTGCGCTGACTTCAAGATTTGTCGTGGTATCATTGGCAGTAAGAGGTTTGTCGTCGACCATAACCTCGGGTGTGCAGGTCATGTTTCAAGAGTAGCTGTTGCCTTCTAGGTGGTTGGACCTCGATTTTTTGGCTGGTGAGGCATCGGATGATAGGGCCTCAGCTGGCCGTTTGTCGGCAGAGGGGGCGTTCTTCTAGGCCTCGGGTAGTTTCAAAATAGGCACAGTGTTCTCAGAATCAATCTAAGTCACTGTGGCCTTTGCTTTGGCCTTCTTTATCCGTTTTGGCTTCAGAATTGGTTCGGAAAGGGAGGACGAGGATTGCACTGTCACAATCCCAGGGATATTAGTGAGTAGGTCTTCAACAACTGCCAGTTTGCGCCTCATCTCTTCAACAGTGGTTGCTACAGTTATTTTGGTGCCAAGGTGGAAAGTTGGAAGTGCAGTATATGGGTTTTTTGGGTCGTAGGCTGATCATTCTGAAAGTCAGCATTTGCGGCTATGGGTTTTACCAGTTGGAGTGTTGGTAGGAACTCGGCAACGACGTTGGCACTGATGTGGAGGAATTAATTAAGGAGCTGAGGTGGATGGTTGCTCCACAAGACCAGAGGTTGATTCCTAATCTGGCCTTGATGATGATTTGACTGGTGGAGTTGTTGAAGGTGGAGACTTGCTCTTCTTGGGGATGTCGGGCAGTGTGGATTTGTACGTCGGTATATAGTTGAGTAAGGGAAGCCTTGCGCTAGTCAACTGGCAAGTCCAACAACTTCTTAAAGTCTTTGTTGGGGAAGAAGGTTTTGTGGAAATCTTTTGATGACTGAGGGAGAGTTACAAATACAAAAATTAGATATTAGAACATATAAAGAGAATAAAGTGGTAAGACTTAAAAACGTGTAAAGTGACACTTGGTTTTTATCCTCACCCTCTTTAAACACTGTTCGGCTTAAAGGATAGAGGTGGAGGTCATCATTGGGTGAGAGCTCCCAGTTGCCCGAGACGATGAAATAATCATCTCTAGCACCTTTGTTGGAGTCTGGGAGGTCGGCTATGAGTTTGTACTCAGTGGATCTCAACTTGAGGTAATAGACGTAGCCTTTTTTGGATTTCAGGCCATACATGGTATAACAGTATTGGATATCGGCTAGTGTTATCCTAGCATTTTCTCGGCTAGCTAGAGCAATTAAACCATTTATGACTCTAGAGGAGTTATTGGCCAGTTGCATTAGGTTGAGGATATTTAGAGGGAACCTAAGTTCACACTCTATCAAAGCAACTACGGGGAAAGACATGGAGTTCCCATCAGGCATGATGGAGTCTTCCTCCCCTATCAGCCTAAGGTAAACATCGGCTGGGATGGAAAACTTCCTTCTAAAGTACTCAATTTTTTTTGAGGTATCTACCCTCCATCTGAACATACCCATGATGTCCGCTAAAAGAGGAAGTTGTAAGATTTTATAGGGGAGTGGTTGATGTGGGTTTGGAGGACCTCAGCTAAAACCCTAAACATGAATGGGGCAAGGGTTTTTTAAGATCTAGGGGAGTTTGTTTCAATTTTCCTAAGTATGTGGTTTTTCTATCAAAACCCAAGCCTAAATCTATGTAGATACAGGAATTAGAGGCAAGAATTTGGAAATAAAGAAATAAAAACAGAAAAGAAAATGAGATTTAGACTCAAGAAATTCAAGAACACTAAGTGAGTGTGTGCAGATGTGCAAAAACTCAGAACAGTATGCAAAAGTCATAGCAAAAGAACATGATTGGCATTTTTCATAAAAGACTATACATGTACAAGATTTAAGATCCAAGAATAGAAAATTGATTCATAATCGAAGAAAAGAAAGAAACAGAGTGTAACAATGAAAACGAATCCAATGGCAACAGAATAAACGTATGGTATAGATGGAATCATATTCAAATTATGGAAAATTGAAACTGAAAAATGAAAAAGAAAAAAGAACTCACCAGTTGGGTTCGAGGTTGAGGTTTGCCAAAGTTAGACGGCGGAAATATGTGGAGCAGAATGGTGAAAGCGTCGCCGGAGGAGATGAACGGAGTACAGTTGCAGAGAGCTTGATAGCAATGGAGGTAGAGGATTTGTTTAGAGAGAAAAACTTGAATGCAGAAGGAAAACGAAGGATGCAAAGGTGAAAAGACGGAGCGAGAATGAGATGTTTTGATTAAACATGAAAAGGCGGCAAAACCACAATAAATGTGTCTTGGACGACGTGCCTGTCAAGCAACACGTACAGAAGCGATGCAACCTAATAGTGCGTGTCAGGTACGAATTAATGAAAGAGGGACACGTGGCGGAAACGGTTGAGAAAACCGCGCGTGGTAGCTCATATGCAGATAGAACTCTTGGAGTTCTTGATTTAACGGAGTGAGAACCTCGGCTAGAGGAACTGTCCTGGTTAAGGAACTTGAAGAACTTGGTTCTTGATCATTGATAAAGTAGATTGCAGAGTCTTGGTCATGTCAAGCCGACATATGATGATCTCGATCATAAAAGATGGAGTAAGTCTTAGCCGACGTGCTATATGGACAAATGATATAGGTTCTATCACCTCAGGATGCTGAGGTAATAGAACTTAGGGGGCAATTGTGAGGACATATTTTCTAAATGACAACACGTGGCCAAGGTGACACCAAAGTGTTAGTCGAGATGCCACGTGTCTTGGTTATGGCGCCGAGGTGATCTCGGCTAGACCGAGGTTATCTGCGGAGATACCGGAATCCGAGATGAACGAATAAGGGACAAAAGTCCTAGAATAGGGAAGGATCTCAGTCTGGATAAAGATAAAACTCTTAGGGAGTTTATCTCTATCTGGCTGGGAGTCATAGACGAGCATTGAGCCGGAGTCCGTTGAAGTTAGGCTTCTATAGGGATCAGGTTAGTGCTGGCTACAAAAGTAAGGTACCCTCGTGGGTTAAAGATATGCTTTTTATGCTCTGTCTAGTGAGTTAAGTACTGTTGGCTATTTTTGAGAGATAACTACTGACTTGATCGTCGGAGTGCCGTCGGGTGGATGAACCACCGCCGTATTCTTATCTTTCTGTAACAGGTTGTTTGGGCTTAATCTATTCTGCCTGTGCTCTCTTGTTGAGTTCCTGTTTGGTAGTGTGGTCGGAAATCAGCACCCAAAGTTTCTATTTACCATATGCAATCTTTTTTAGAAGGATTTTATTGTTCTTAAACTATATGCCACTTTGTTGTATGTTTTAATGATGTATGAGTTCTACAGTTTCACTCATCTATACAGATGTTTGCGCATTTTATTTATAGGTTCTATCCATCTTAAAGTTTGAGAAGCGCAATCAAATGCCTGAAGATTATTCAAAATTGTTCAGAGAAGCAGTTGCAGTTTTCCAGCATGCCCGAATGTCTGTAATTTGTTAGATATATTCCATTTAAACCAGTCTCTCTATTTCTTTTTTTTTTTTGGGCTTATATCTAATGCCTTGTTTCTTACATTCTGTGCAGATACGACGCTGACTCTAAGTGCCTCAAACACCTAAAACCTCTTCCAGAAAAGCTTTTGCAGTCTCTAGATGAAGGCCTTGATTTCCTGGGGCCGTATCCTTTCATTTTAGTATTTATTATTTTTTTTCTCAATGTTTAGGTAAACTTGTGCATCATATTATAGGTTTCAATATTTGGCACTTGATCTGATAAGACAACATCAATTTTAGTAATCCTTGTTTCATAGCTTCGAAACCGGGCAATTTAAGTAAAGTGAGGGCAATTAGCAATGTGATCAGCGGTTGAAAATCTTTTGTGACAACAAGATTTAAGTTTCTTTATCCTTGACCACAATTAGAGAAATGCCACCATCAATAGCAGCTGCAATTGCTGAAGGTAACTTGGATCCAAGTACCATGGAGGCCTTTGATCACTTTCCCAGTTCTGCAACTCATCTCAATCCTACTACCAAAAACCAGACTTTTGATCAATTCCCAAGACATGAGGCCACTGCCATATCTACAGAAGAGTGCTGCTTTTCTGTTGTTTCCTCTCACAAAGTCAAAAAAGAAAGAACTGCAGGCAAGTGTTCTCTAACCAAGCATGCATGATATATAGCTCATAAAATTTTTATGCAAAATGTGTTCAGATGACTTCAACAATTTGAAACTTCTATCTCAACTTGCAAAAATTCTGAAGCTATAGAAATATACATTTATTTGCTGTATAGATATTTTCTATTATAGGTAAAAGCCTTGGGCTAAAACATAGTTTACTCATTTCTAATGGAATGTTTCTCCGGTGGCATTGCAGTAATGGGGCAGAAAATCGTGATAGAAGAAAGCAAATACTTACATGAAGCTACAGTGCTGGAGAAGTTGGTATGCCCTTTGAATGCTCGATCTACAGAAGAAAATGAGACAGCTATTGACAAAATTCACCTAAAAGTTCCTGACAACAACCCGTTCAGAAAGCGAAAACTTGTTGAAGTTGAGTTGGATCAGTGTGAGAATGTTACTGAACAAGTTTCAGAGGTGACTGAGGTTGAGAACTCGGAAATCTTATGTATGACACCAGAATCACAAGAGAGTGTAGATTCTAAACCTATTATCAAGACAAGTGATGGGAAAATGAGAGCCAAAAATGAGAAGTTGAAGAGAAGGAATTGCCAAAGTTCAGAAAACAAGAATAGCAGTATTTTAAATTTCTTTTCTCGAGTGTAATATTTTTTGGTTATAAATTTAAAATTTTGTGATTATGAGAAACTTGGGCTCCGTTTAGTTAGGGTTTCAAATTATAGTTTTACTAATTGATTTGAGTGTATTATTTATTTTGAATTTTCAAATCATAATTCTACACTTATTTCTCAAAATTTAATTCAAAATATAATTATTATTTTTCAAAATTTATAACCAAATACATAATTCAATTTTTTTTTTAAAACTCAATTCAAATTAATATTTTAATTTTTTTAATATTATTTTAAAATATTTTATAAAAATAAATTCAAACTCTATTTTATAAAAATATTTTTAAATATTTTAATTTTTTTGTTATGTATTTGGTTACGATTTGAGTGAAGAGTTGTGAAAGTAGTATGGAGTTTTGAGTTATGTGTTTGATTATGAGTTTTAAAAATAATTTCTTAATTGAGTTTTGTTTTATGTGTTTGATTACAATTTAAGTGTAAAGTTGTTTTTAAATTCAAAATATTAACATTTTAAATTATTTAAATTTTTACGATTTAAATTTTTTTGAATATTTATTTAAATTTTTTACTTATTAAATTTTTTAGATTATTTAAATTATTTAAATATTTATGATTTAAATTTTTTGAATATTTAGGAGTGGTTTGGGATGATTTAAATAAGTGTATTTTTTGATTTTTTATAAAATATGAATTGAGTTTGAAGTGATGTGGTAGAGAGGTGATGTGACTTATAGGATAGTAACTTTTTGACTTTTTTAGGGTATTCCAAACAAGGTCTTAGTTTTTAAAAAAATTTATTTCCTTTGTAGTATTTTTAATTAAAAATTGATTAATGTTATTTTCTGTTAATAATAAATTTTTTAATTAAATTTTAAAAAGAATTTGGTTATGAGTGTTGATCAGAATTTTCAATAGTGTGAAAGTAGTGTGTTTTGTTATGAGTTATAACAATTTGAATTAAGTTTTGAAAACTTTTTCTAAAACTCATAATCAAACAAATTTTTTTATTTCACATGTCAAATTAAACTTTCAAAATTCAATTTCACACTCAATTCAAAAATCATAACCAAAGAAATTTTTTACACTTAAATCATAATTTTACAACTCTCAAACTCAAAATACAACTTAGATTTTCAAATCATATTTACAAAATTTTACCAAACGCAACCTTGGTTTCTCGTGTAACCTAAATTTTGAATTTTGATTTAAATGAAAGTTTACTGAAACATATGATCATGAAACCAAACACTAATGGAAAATTTGATCACATTTTTCAGCACAAAATTTGGAATCATTTTTATAATACAATTCACTTTTTTATTTTACTGGTATGATTTTGATTTTGATATTCGATCCAAGGGTTGCAACTAGGGGTGTTCGCGGATCAATTTTGTGCGGTTTGTGGTTCGGTTTTAACCCGCCCGCATGTATGCGGTTTGGGAAAAAGTCAAACCGCAACCGCTCGCAGTGCGGTTTGCGGTTTGTGCGGTAGGTTTTGCGGATGTGAGGGCGGTTACGGACGGTTTGCAGTTTGGATTGCTTCCTTTAAAATTTAATTTTTGAGTTTTTTTTTTTTCCCCATTTTGTAAATATTTATTTGGGTCATTTTCTTCCAATTTTCTAAAATGTTTCAACATTAATAATTAATGAATTAAACTTATAAAATTAAAAATACAACAAAATTAATTCCTAACACAAACAAATTATTCAAAATCATTCAACATGCTCCAACATTAATTGTGTACGTGGCCCTCTGGGATTCATTTTAGTAAAGAAAAATGAATATCATTTAAAAAAAATAAAAATAAATATGAACTTCCTTCAAACAGTATTCTCACTGATTTATTTAGTGAAAAAATCTTTTCTATAACCATCATGGGGAAACCATTAGACAGTCCCACAAATTCTATATCAATGCATTAAAGGTTATACTCAAGTAGAATTGTCAGTTCAGTGATCAATAATCAAACTAGAAGTTTCATCGACCACCAGAAGGAAAATTTTATTAGGAAAAAGTAGATGAGTCACCAATAAAAATCATATAAGAAACTAAGTTTAGGACTTGATAATTCTATGACATTAAAAAAGTTGAGAAATACTTAAAAATAAGGATCGTAGTGTCATAGAGAACATAATGGTGCTCCTGTTAAAGTTACAAAGTTGGTATATAAAAAATAATAAAGTGCGGGCTGTTTTTGTAGGTTGCGAGTTTAACCCGCAACCCGCTCGCAACCCGCAAATTTGTCATATTTCAAACCGCATCTGCCCGCATTATGTTTACGAAACTGCCCATTCATATGCAGGTTGAGCGATTTGAACGGTTCGGATAAACCGTTACCTACCCAACTTGCTTGCTGGCAAAGTGAGCGTTGGTTTCATTTGGTTAAAATAAGTAAAACTTTATTTTAAAAAATTGCAAAAATTGATTATTTTTGTCTTTTTTGAAAACTTTTGAAGTTCATCTAGTTGAGACAGATTTAAAAAGAAAAAAGTTGACATAATTAAAAAAAAAAAATGCACTAAAGATGAAAATTGACATAATTCACTTAGGACATATGCAGCAAACAGAACATGAGAAATTAAACCTGTTTTTCCAAGAAATTGCTTACAGGAAACACCTAAAAACAGAGTTCCTTTCCCAATGCCATAGATTTTTGTTATTTATTTATTTTTAAATTTTTTGACTGGCTCGAGTCAGTGGAAATAGTTGTAATTGCAAGAACCAATTAGGAAAACACATGCGCTTCTTATGAAAAACTAAAAAAAGAGGGTAAAAGCATAAGCATTGAGCCACTGACTACAGCCTTTATTGGTCAAATAGCACAAGTTCTACAACAACCACATTCTGTAACCAAAGACAGAAAAACAACAGATGTGGTTTCCTAATGCTTGTTTCTGCGAAGCAATTGTCTGAACCAGTAGGCAGACATCTTTGGGTACCTCTTGAGGGTTTTGAAATCGACATAAACAATGCCAAACCTTGAAGTGTAGCCTAGTCTCCATTCAAAGTTGTCAAGCAACGACCATGCGAAGTAGCCAACTACATTTGCTCCATCATCAATGGCCTTCTTCAGTTGAGTCAGATAAGCCTTGTAATAGTTGATTCTGGTGGTATCATGCAAGCCCTTTGGAAGAGTGACAGTACCCGGATCATCCATGCCTGCAAATCATGCATAGATGATATAACACTGAAATACTAGATCATAGGAGATTAAAAAAAAAAAAAAATGTGAAAACCTTAAATAAACCACACCATTTTCAGCCAAAATTATAGTTGGATTTCCATAATGTTCCTTTATGTAAGTCACAGCTTTGTAGAGACCCCATGGCACGTTGTAGAGCCAATAAGAATATGCCTGCAATTATAAGTCACAGCTTTGTAGAGACCCCATGGCACGTTGTAGAGCCAATAAGAATATGCCTGCAATTATTCAATTAATCAACCATTGATTGGAAATGTGGCACACACAATTAGGTCATAAAGGTTGAGAAAAGACAGATATCAATGTATGGTTTGGATAATTCACCCTTGGACCAATTGGTACTCCTCTTTTTTCATCTGCAAATTTCAACAACCAAAAAGAGGGAAATATTATTCAAACATATAAAGATCTACACCAACAATGAATATTTATTCCAATTTTGTCAGATAAGAATGGAGGGAAAATAGTGTCGTACAAGCAAATGAAGCATTCCAGTCCTGCTGGTAGCCGAGATCTTTTGGTTTGGCATTATGGGCGTCGTACATGTAGTAAGCAGTATATTGGTTGATACCCACAAAATCCATCGAACCCTTTACCATCTTAACTTCTTCTTTTGTGAATTTGGGCAGCCGATCACACACAATTTCTTGCATTGTTTTTGGGTACTCACCATATACTATGGGATGGATAAACCTACATCAAAAAACCAAGGGCATTATTGCAAAACCTACAAATTTTGAAAGAATCACTTAAAAATAAATTCTGTTAATATCATCTAAATGAATTGTCACTTAATTGTAATGTATTTTCTATCACATTGTTGCTTTCCCACTACCAAATTATATCAAGTGATTTACTAGTTTTCAATCATGCAGTTGTTACTGTCACCAAGAATATTAATTTTCTTTTTACTTTGAATGGCTGAATCTGTTTTGCTTGGTAAAAGTAACCATGAGTAGGAGTTCTTACCATCCAATATGGAAGTCTCTTGCTCTTTGAGCTGCGTAATTGTCAGCTTTTGATCTTGTAAGAGGTTCATACCAAACAAAATCCAAGAGAATGCCAATCCTTCCCTTCTGTTTTTCCTGGGACATTAAGTGTATAGTAAGCAAATGCACCTTTATTTATTATTTTTTGTTTGTTAATGAAATGGATTGTGGTGAGAGATCTTGAAAGTACTAGTGAAATAGAAAAAAGGGAGCTTACTTGATACTTTTCACGATATCTCTGAACTGCAGCAGCGTGACATAAGATCAGATTATGGGCCACAATGTAAGGCTCGGTTGCAGAATTTCCTGCTGTGCAATTTCCAAATGCTTTGGAACACCTTCCAGGAGCAAAGAATCCATTATCGTATCCAAGAGCAGCCACTACTCTAGGTTCATTAAATGTCATCCAATTCTTCACTCTGTCTCCAAATGTCTTGAAGCAAAAATCTGCATAATCCGCAAAGTCTTTCCTGTATAGTTTGAACTATTTGTCAAAACCTCAACATAGGAAAGAAAAAAAACTAAACTACACATTTATTTTAGATGTCATAGTCCAAAAATTTTAAATTCTTAAGAAATGGTAAAACTATATGGAATAAACAAAGGCAATTGCTTGTGATGATACTTACACTACTTCATGACTCAACCATCCCAAGTACCTCTCCTCAAGTGCTTGAGGAAGATCATAATGATTAAGATTTGCGTAAGGGGTAATTCCTGTGAATGTTCAATTCAAAACGAGTAAAGTCAAATTGTGTTAAGATCATATTTGTCTTTTCTCACCCAGTGTCAATTTATCAATGTCAAAGAAAAACTACCCCTTTTGAGCATGTAATTGATCAATCTATTGTAGTAAGCAACTCCTTTCTCATTTACTTTCCCGGTTCCATCTACATAGAGAAAATTGGATGAAAGGAAATTTCAGTACTTACGAATAATTTCAGCGATAATTTTAGTAATGAATGATTGTAGTATGATATTTACTCGGAAATATCCTAGACCATGAAATTGAGAACCGGTAGGCATCGAAGTTCAACTTATTCATGATATCAATATCTTCCTGTCATCAGAGAATAGAAATGTAAATTTCATATTTCCTACAAACTGCTAACCATAATCCAAATTCCTTGATAAAAAAACTCAAATACATTTTGCAAAGCATTTTAAAGGAAGTCTAGTACATAAAATGATTACTGTTGCAACGCCCCACTATGAGCTTGTCGTGGTATTCTGATTGATTATAGACCCTCACGAGGACGCAAGGATTTATAAGTGGGAAGTTTGTAACACTTTGTCCCATATCGGAAGTTTGCATGGTGATCTTGAACATATAAAACACCACTACCTTGCTACTAAATAACTTTGGACTAAAGGTTTTGGATATTGTTGGTCGACCCACAGGTTATTTGGGCCAGCAAGTAATGGGGCGTTACAAATGGTATCAGAGCCGACCCATTCGCACATTCACGTGGGCCACTTATTCTGGGCTGGCCATGAGCTTGTCGTAACGCGTGGCGTTACAGCCGTAATATATATTTGAAGAAAGTCCACTCCATGATTTTGAAGGGTCTTGTTAACGAGTGTCCTAAGTGCATCGGCCAGCAACATTTAAAATGGTTGTAGATTGTTCATGACACACATTTTTACAAACAATGTGCACCCATTTCATCACTTTAACACTCCAATTGAATTGCCGGATGAGAAAAGAATATAAATGATTGTGGTCTCTCACTATTATATTTGAATGAATAAGAAAACAAAACTAGTGGTATGTGATGTAAGGATATGGATGAGATTTCATTTTCTTCCTTCCTATTTTAATGGACAATCTTGATATTATAAAATATATAGAACCAATCAATTTTTTTCCACCAAATCTCATCACTTTTGATGAGAAATTAAACTATAAAATAAAAGATTTTTACCATTAAAAAAAAAGGTAATTTTCTCACCATTTCGTCACTTAATTTATAAACCAAACATAAAAAAAAAAAGAAGAAACTCTTTTTGATTTTATTTCTTATCATTTCTCACCAATTTATTTGATCAAAACGGTACAGGTATGATTTTTTTTTAGTTAAAGAAATTTAGAAGTACCCTTTTTCTTCTACGTTTCTAAAAATTAATGAGTCCAAATGCATCATTTTTAAAGTTGAAATACGTTGTATGTGTAATTAATCCAAACAAAGGCAGCACTTAGCCCCCAAAAATTGCAGCATATGTTCTTCGTTTAATAATAATAAATAAATAAGAAAAAAAAGAGCATATAAATATAGTACTTTATAGCGATGATATTGGTCAACTGAGACAGCTCCGGTAGCATTATTAGCTTCAATTCCTGCATTAGAAGACCCATAAATCTCATATCCGAAATTAAAACAAAATATCAAAGAAGAAGAACAGTACAAGGGCAATACATATATACATATAGATATAGAAGAAGTGTGTGTGTGTGTGTGTGTGTGTACCGGGAGTTTGAATGAAGACGTCCCAGATGCTAGGGCCACGGCCGTCCTTGTTGGCCATGCCTTCGACTTGGTAAGCCGAAGTCGCCGTTCCGAACACGAAACCCTTGGGAAATGTTCCTCTGCTCAGTCCTCCCGTGTCGAAATTTATTACACTATCCGGTGATGATGCATTCGCAACCACCACGGTTACGACCAACAGCAACACCAATGGTGCTCTTCTCATCATCATCTTCTTCTTCTTCACACTACTACTACTCATCATCATCACACACTTACACACAGAGAGACAGTCTCTGAAAGAGAGTTGTGACTGGTTTCAGCTTTTTATAATTGAGAAAGGATAATTCCACAGGGGGTGTTTTTTGGAATTACCCACTAAATAATGGGAGCATCTATTTGAACACACCTATTCTACTTTTTTCACATCATTCTCAGTTCACACATCTTAAGAAAAAAAAAAAATATATATTTATTACATACACTATTATTCCAATTATATCCTCATACACACAACTTTCTAACACTCCCAATCCACACACCTCCACACCAGCGACCACCTCGCCGGCAGCGAAGCAACACCACCGTTCCCTTTTACTTCTAGTCGCCATCCTCACCCTTTTCTCTACCCATCGGCGACACTACCGCAACCCCACCTCATCCCCTTGATCTCTCTCTCTCTCTCTCTCAGTTGCGAAAATGGGGTTTCGGAGGTTGATAGCCGAATCAATATGTTTTGTTCGGATGTTGATGGTCGAACCAAATTCATTGATTCGATGGTTGATTTCCGAATGGAGGCCATTTTTTTGATGGTTGATTTCTAAATGAGTCTTTTTTCAGACTTAGGTTCTTTTCTCTCTCTCTCTCTCTCTCTCTTTGTGGGTGTGTAGAATTGAAGGTCACGAAGGGGTGGGAGCTGCGGCGGCGGTGGTGTTGTGTTCCGAAGTGAGAGGTTACGAGGGTGGTGGGGAGGGTTAATGAGCGACGAACGATGGAGTGGGGTGGAGCTTCGATTCGAGAAGAGGGAGGCTGGAGGGAGGCGACGGAGGGAGGCGACGGAGGGAGGAAGGAGATGACCGGAGGGGAGGGACTCTGTTGGGTATTAGGGTTAGGGTTAGGGTTTTGGTTGAAGAAGAAAGGGATATTTTGGTAGTTTTATTTTAGGATGGAAATGAAATAAAAAAATATCATTAAGTGTGTGAAGAGAGGGGAAGTGGTGTGTGTAAATAGAAGCTCCCTTTAATAATTAAGAGGATTTGAGAATTGATTTTTTTTTTTGATTTTTTAATTTTTTATGAAATAATATTATAAAATAAAATAATAGAGAAAAAAACTTATTAAGAGGATATGATAATTGGTTTTTTTGTAAGATTTATTTCATTATTTAATTTTTTGGGTTGGTTTACAAACAATACTTAGGCCTCGTTTGGCAAATGATTTTTTTAGTCAAAAAGTCATTCAAAAAGTCAAAAAGTCAAAAAGTCAATAACCTATTCAAAAAAGTCAAAAATTTCTTTTTCTCTCTATTTTTTGCACATATTTTCATAAAAAATTAAAAAGTCATCCCAAACATGTTAATTTTTTTTGCATCATATTTTAGCTAAAACATCAAAAAATCACTAAAAAAATATGTTCCCAAACGAAGCCTTAGTGGTTTTAAAAAAAAGGCAAGCTTGCTATTTGGCTACCTCCAAAACTTTCATAAGACCTTTCATTAAATACAAATTTAATAAAAAATATTTTAAATGTCAGTTTTAATCCTTTCATCAATTTATCAAATGAAGGGAGAATTAAATATTTTATCAAATGAAGAGAGTTTTTATCCTTTATTAAATTTTACAAGTAGTCGTTGAGTCGGACATCTACTCGGATGTCTTCTCAATCATCCTCCTAGACAATCTTATTTTCTTTATTTGAACGTCAATTTTTCCTCATGACGTCATAACAAGATTTGATAAAAATTTTGAATTTATTATTGGAGTGCATCATATCAGATCAAAATTTTCATCAAATTTTCACACAAATTTGATAAAAATTTTGATACAACATTGGAGATGGTCTTATATATAGTCTCATCCTATTTTACTTGATCCAACACATTAGCTATTACACTAGCCATTTTAACAAAATAATTTCAAACTAGGTACATTTGAAAAGTTTTTTGGGACTCTTTAAACAGTTTGTGTGAATAAATAGGTAAAATAAAAAATAACAGCCGAGTATATAGATAAAAAATAATAATTAAGTAAAACAACAAAAATATTTCTTTTTTAATAAAGAGTAACGTTAGAATTAGTATACAAATAATACTCTAGAAATATAATACAGTGTTGAAAATATAATAATTAGAATACATTACACTTTTCGTACAATTTTTATTTTTTGTTTTATAAATAATTTTTTATTTTCTGCACAAGAATCATGCCATCGTGATAAAATAATAAAATAAAGATTTATTATATTGTTTTGTATTTATTTTAGGAAAATTTATTAGAAAATCTTATTGTAGAAACTTCTATACTATTCGGTCTTACGTTTTAAATGGTTGATTGAGGAGTTATTATTAAGTGTAGTGTGTGACTAGTGAATTCTTTTTCAAATGTGAATGGGCATTGGTTGGACAGATATACCCTCAATAGTTAATTGAGAAAATTTGTTTTTTTTTTTTTGGAATGTGTGACAAGTATGGTGTGATATTCCAATGTGACAGGTATTAATGCGACACTCCAAATATGTGACATTTCAAAAAAATTTAAAACTCCTTAGTGTATTTTTTTCAAATGTGACAACGTAACAGGTATGATGTGACACTCCAAATTTTTCACTCATCTGTAGTGTATTTTTTTTAAATGTGATAACATGATAGGTATGATGTGACACTCCAAAAAAATAAAAACTCCTCAGCACTCTAAAAAATTTAAAAATTCCTTAGCGTACTTTTTCTAAACGTGACATGTGACACTTTAACGTAACGGATCCAATTTGATTGAATTACTACATGTCTTTATGTCACGTGCCAAAAAATAATTAATAAGTAATTCACGTCCTACGTATTAAAAACAATCAAACTAATGCGCTTTTCGAACAACATAACACATAAACACTCCACCACTTTTCTTATACATAATCATGCTAGCTGTCCTCTAACTATATTAATAATGATAAAATAATCAACAAATAATTTAAAAAATTACTCAATTATCAAAAAAAGCATTTGAAACCTTATGAATTATAAGTTTACAAAATAGGATTAGCTGGTTAATCCCCTTTGATTTTATGCATTATCACTTTACTGTTTGCATATCATTTTTTTGCCCTAAAAAGAAAATGTTTTATTAACTAGAGGTTAAGATACACCATCTTAAAAAAAAAAAAAACTAAAAGTGAAGATAAGGCCAAAATAGCATACAATAATTGCGATGAGATTGGAGACAACTATATTGGGAAATGGGAAATCTATGTACACGATATAATCATAAGCTAGAGCATGTAAATGACAACAACTAAGGGATCTGGTAACTCGGTAAAGATTTTAAGCTGTAAATTTTGAGAACTCAGATTTCACTTTTCTTAGAATCAGTCATGGTTAAGCATTTATATACATATATATAAATAACATAATAAGTAGTTCCATTACAAAAACATAGGACAAACTCAAACAAACAAGAAATTAAAGAAATTGTCAAATTCCAATAATCTTGAATAATGATAGCCAATGAAAAATGATATCCTTCAAATAAAAAAAAAATGATAATGTCAGGCTTAAAATGAACAAAGTGTAATTTGAACACCTTAAAAGGAGTAAGCATGTTGCAAGGGGAAATGTCACTGAATACACAATTTTTTGTCTTCAAAATAAAGGCAAAAAAATAGAGTAACAACATATAAAAACTTATTGATTTAGAATAAGGTGATTACAATCTCTAGAATATTTTATACAAAAGGATGATTATCTGATTCTTCTTTTTAAAAAGTTGATTTGAGAGTTTGATAGCTTGTTCCTGATTAAGTGGTGAAATTTTTTTCAAATAGTGCGAAGAAGATGACGAATTTGTAAGATATTGACTTGAAGGCTTTGTAGCTTTTTTCTAAATTAGATTGTAGAATCCTCTCTAATTTAGTGGAAGAAGATAAATTTGATGAACTTTAATTTGAATCTTCGAGCTTTATATTTTATGTAGATTGACAAACTTTGATGAAGACACCTTTGGAGTTTTAGGCTTGAATCTGATGGAGCTTTTTCCTTGACTTGATATAGATTTTTATATCTACAACTTGATTTATGTATGGAGAATTGTCTATAAATTTTGGCAGAAATTACCCTTGTGAAAACCCACATTTAATTATTCTTAAAAGAAAATAAATAAATAAATTAATTTTATCCAGAGTTTATCTAAAATATATATTAGTGTAAAAGTTAGTTTTAAATTAACCCAATTCAATCACTAATGAAGACATTTTTAAGAATAATAATTTTGTGGGTGTTCAATATTTGTTGTTTATAAATTATTTTAATTAGGATTCAATATGATAATTATTCTGACTAAATACCTTAATTAAAAATCTTAGTGTATCAATTTTAAGAAACCCACACAAATACACGGAAAAAAAAATCAAATCTTGCAGATTTTTGGTGGCAACTTTCCACATGTTGGATTGCATGTTATTATAGGGAAGGAGAGCCCATTATACTCTTGGAATTGAGAGAAAGTGAACTCATAGAATGAAGAGGCACAAAATTCCCTATCATTGACACTTGGAAATTCAAAGTGGCACGATCACCAAGTTGGGTGGCTAGCCAGCTTAGTTCTGGAAGATAAAGATCATATGGAACTAGGGCTGTCTCATGTTATCTGTGAGTATACTGATGTGTTCCCAGAGGAATTACCAGGACTACCCCCAAAGTGAAAAGTAGACTTTACCATTGAACTATAACCTGGTACCTCACCGATCTCAATGGCACCACATCGCATGGCACCAGCTGAATTGAGAGAGCTAAAGACACAGTTGCAAGAATTATTAGACAATGAATTTATAAGGCCAAGCACGTCCCCGTGGGCAGCACCAGCCTTATTTGCTAAAAAGAAAGATGGGACACTTAGGTTGTGCATTGATTACCGACAATTCAATAGTGTCACCATTAAGAATCGTTATCCACTACCTAGGATTGATGACCTTTTCGATGAGCTTAGAGGAGCAAAGTATTTCTCAAAAATAGACCTCGGGTCTGGATATCACCAATTGCATGTTCGAGAAGAAGATATTCTTAAGACTGCGTTTCGAACCCGTTACGGCCACTATGAATTCGTAGTGATGCCATTCGGCCTAAC